TGGTACTAGTGGTCTTGTTTCAAAAAATAGTATCATTTATCCTATTTAATGCTAGTCTTTATTGCTACAAAAGGGGAGGTTTCCGTTTGGCGGGCCCTAGTGCCGTACGTGTGTGAGCACAGGCGTAGCCTCAGCGCTGGGGAGTCACTGCAGCAGTGCCTCGTGTTGGAATTCTTTCTGGAGGCTTTGAGTGCTGCATTAGCATGTAGTGTAAAAGAAACGGACACCAGGAGCTCTGGACTTTCCCCAAATCCTGGTGCCAAATTCTCTCTGGTGTTTTTTCATTTGTGTTTTGAAATAAGTGTGTTTTTCTTACTGGTACATAAGCTTTTTCTTAATTTGTGAGAAACATCTTAATAAAGTTCTTTAAAAAGATTGCACCATCATTTTTTTCTCTTAAAAATTATTTTCTATATGCCTTATGAGATTTAAATGAGTTAATAATGTATATAACTGTAGTGTCTGTCACCCTGTAAGCACTCAGATGTTAGCTGTTAAATAAAAAATTGAATTCATAAAACAGAATTCTAAGAAGTATTTAATGTGATCTATGAAATTCTTTTAGATGATGGTATCTAGTTGCTTTTATATTATAGATACTATTTTTTTCTTTTAATGTTTATTTTTGAGAGGGAGAGAGAGAGAGAGTGTGAGCAGGGGAGGGGCAGAGGGAGAGGGAGGCACAGAATCCGAAGCGGGCTCCAGGCTCCGAGCTGTCAGCACAGAGCCTGACGGGCTCGAACCCACAAACCGTGAGGTCATGAGCTGAGCCAAAGTTGGACGCTTAACCACCTGAGCCACCCAGGTGCCCTTATATTATAGAAATTATCAAAATCCATATTAAAACAAATTTGGTAAACCTGCATTGGGATTTACAAACGACTGTGATGGCTTTGCTGTGTGGGTGTTGGTGAGCTGAGGAGGCAGGGATGCAGGCAGTGGTGGGGGACTTCTCCTTGGGCCCGGCCCACTGTCCCAGATCTGGTCGATGGCTGAGGTCCCACGGAAAGCTCAGATACTTTAGATGCTCCGTGTCTCTTCTTACCCTGTAACTCCTTAGATCCCTTAGACAGAGACTGGGAAGAGTCCAGATTTCTCCATCCTCCAGTCTCTTCCCACCTTTGTTTCCAGCAGGAGGTGCTGATGGAGTTGGTAGGTCCGCGTGCGTGTGTCTGCAGGTAGGTCGGTCCCTGCCCTTCCAGAAGGAGTTGAGAGCACATTAAATCATTTTAGAAACCGTTCTGTTTCTTTTGCTTCATCGCTGCTGTATATGTTGAGGATCCACTGTGTGCCGGGCCCGGTGCTGTATTCTTTAAACAATTAGGATGCGGTCCCGGGCTGTTATGCACCCCATCCTTCTCTCCCTAGTACCTGGGAATGGAAGTGTATTTCTAGGTGGGGCCTTTAAAGAGGTAATGATGGCAAAGTGAGGTCCGGTGAGCCCAAGTGTAGGAGGATTGGTGTCTTCACAAGAGATCTGAATGCAGACACACCCAGAGATAGCAGAGGAACGTGGCCATCAGCAGTCTCGGTGAGAAGCCTCCGAAGAAACCAGATCTTGTAGCCTGTTGACTCCAGAAACGGTGAGAAAGTAAGTTTCTGTTTAAGTCACTCAGTCTGGTGCTCTGTTACGGTGGCCCTCGAAGACAAAGCAATGTGCGAGAAGCACATTAGCCCGAATCCTGTCAACAGCCATAAAAGAAAATTCGAACACGGGTCTGCCTGGCTCCTTAGCCTGTGCTTTTTGGACAAATTATTCTAGTAAGTTGCGTTAATATTTTTAAAAATTGCGCGGACTGTGATCCAGCATAAGAACCAAGTGTTTAAATTTGAATTCTGTGTATTTGAAAGTTTATCTGTCTTGGCTTTGTTCAGCTAGCCCATTGTAATGTGTAAGAACGTCTTTCTTGTGTTCGGTAAAAATATTAAGTGGTAACGTGATTCACATTTTATCTACTTGCTGAGTCCTGTCCGCCTAGATCAGGGTGAGTCGGTTTTAGTCGCTTCCTTTTTGCTCTCCTAACAATGATAATCATAACAGGTGTACTTGAACCAAGAGGCAAATGTCAGATGCTTTGTTAATTGCTTTATTTAATGCTTAAAACCCTAGGAGACTTGTAAACGGTGCAAATTTAGGTTCAGCGAAGTGTAGATTGTTGGAGGCCTGGGTGGCGGTCTACACATGGTACGGATGAGCCTTGAACAGCACACACATACTGTTGAGACCAGTATATGCGGATTTTTTTTTTTTTTTTATGTTGATGTTTGAGTGCACGTGAGTTGGGGAGGGGCAGAGAGAGAGAGGGAGACACAGAATCTGAAGCAGGCTCCAGGCTGTCAGCACAGAGCCTGATGCTGGGCTCTAACTCATGAACTAACTGTGAAATCATGACCCGAGCCGAAGTCTGATGCTTAAGCACGTGAGCCACCCAGGGGCCCCTATGCAGATTTTTAAAGTAAGTCACTTGAGGGGTGCCTGGGAGGTTGTCGGTTGAGCGTCGGACTCTTGATTTCAGCTCAGGTCATGATCTCACAGTTCATGGACTCAAGCCCCACATGTCAGGATCTGTGCAGACAGCGTGGCTCCTGCTTGGGATTCTCTGTCTCCCTCAAGATAAATACACTTAAAAAAAAAAAAATATATATATATATATATATATGTGTGTGTGTGTGTGTGTGTATAAGTATATATAAATATATATATGTAAGTGTATATATATATGAAATATGTAAGTATATATAGGACACTTTTTGAGATGTGTGACATCTGTTAGCCATCTGGATATCTTCTTTGGAAAAAGGTCTATTCATGTCTTCTGCCCGTTTGATTAGTTCTTTATAGAGTTTGGATACTATCCCTTTATTGGGTCTGTCTTTTGCAAACATCTTCTAACACTTAGTAGGTCGTCTTTTAGTTTTGTTGATTGTTTCCTTCACTGGGCAGAAGGTCTTTGTCTTGATGAGGTCCCAATAGTTGACGTTTGCTTTTGTTTCCCTGCCTTTGGAGACACGTCTAGTAAGAAGTTGCTACAGCTGATGTCAAAGAGGTTGCTGCCTGTGTTCTCTAGGATTTTGGTGGTTTCTTGTCTCACATTTAGGCCTTTCAACCATTTTGAATTTATTTTTGTATATGGTGTAAGGAAGTGGTACAGGGGGTGCCAGGGTGGCTCAGTTAAGTGTCCGCCTTTGGTTAATGTCATGTTCTCACAGCTCGGTTCCAGCCTGGAGCCTGCTTCGAATTCTGTGTCTTCCTCTCTCTGCCCCTCCCCCACTCACGTTCTGTCTCTCTCAGAAACAAACATTAAAAAAAAAGAGGTGGTACGGTTTCATTCTCCTGCATGTCAACCATCCGGTTTTCCCGTCACTTTTTGTTGAAGAGACTTTTTTCCATTGTGTATTCTTTTCTGCTTTGCCGAAGATGAGCTGACCATATAGGTGTGGGTCCATTTCTGGGTTTTGTAGTCTGTCAATGTCATTGATTTTTGTCTACTGTTGGCTATCAAGGATTAAGTAGGATTAGAGTATGCTGAATTGGAGAACAGAGGTATTTTCCAGGCAGAGGGAGAAATATGAAGAAAGACAAAAATGGATGAGGCATTTTTGGAAAAAGAAAGTGAATATTGAGACGAGAAACAAGGCTGGACAGGCAGGATGGGTACCAGGTTTAAGAGGACTACAGATTATGGGTTTTGCCAGCATTAATTCTGCCAATCCATGAACACAGGATACCTTTCTGTTTATGTTTTCCGTGTCTTTCCCCAGTGTCTTGTAGTCTTCAGTGTAGAAATCTTTGTGTTTTTTGATTAAATTTAATCGCAGGTACTTTGTTTTTGGTGTTATAAATATGGGATCATCTTTATTTTTCAGACGCTTTGTTGTCAGTATGTAGAAGTACTGCTTTTTGAGCATTGGTTTCTTATCTCGCAACTGTGTCCGTTAGCCCTAACCGGTTTTGGTGGATCTTTAGGGTTTTCTGTTTATGAGAACATTGTGTGCAAATAAAGACTATTGTACTTACTCTTTTCCAATTCTGATGCCTTTTCTTGCTTTTTAACTGCTCTGGCTCGAACTTCTCATCTTGTGTGCAAATAGTGATTACCCCGTCTTCTTTTTCTTTTTTGTTTACTTATTTTTGAGAGAGAGGGTGAGCAGGGAAAGGGCAGGGAGAGAGGGAGACACAGATTCCAAAACAGGCTCCAGGCTCTGAGCTGTCAGCACAGAGTCTGAAAGGGGGCTTGACCTCATGAACTGCGAGATCATGACCTGAGCTGAAGTCGGAGGCTTAACTGGCTAAGCCGCCCAGGTGCCCCACCCCTGTCTTCCTTGTGACCCTGATAATAGCCTGTACGCTGTCCACGTATGATAGCGGAAGGACATTCCTTCCAGATCTAATTTGTTTCATCGTGAACAGATGTTGAATTTTGTCAGATGCTTTTGTCTAAGAAAACCAAACCTGTATGATCGCAGTCCATCATTGTGGTGTATCATGTTGGTTACGTGCATGTGTCAGAAAAGCCTTGCATCCCAGGGATAAATCACAGGTGTCCCGGCAAATGATCCTTTAAATAGGCCGAATTCTCTTTGCTAGTTTTGAAGATTTTCGCATCTATATTCATCAGGGACTCTGCCTTTGGGGTCAGGGTAATGCTGGCTTTTTAAAATGTGTTTGTGGGGGGCACCCGGCTTGCTCAGGCAGAACACGTGACTCTTGATCTCGGGGTTGTGAGTTCACGCCCCATGTTGGGCATGGAGATTACTTTAAAAAATGAGTTCGTGGGGGCCTGGGTGGCTCAGTCGGTGAAGCATCCGACTTCGGCTCAGGTCATGATCTCACGGTTTGTGGGTTCGAGCCCCGCGTCGGGCTCTGTGCTGCCAGATCAGAGCCTGGAGCCTGCTTGGGATTCTGTTTCCCTCTCTCTCTGCCCCTCCCCCTTGCATGCTTTCTCAAAAATAAAGGTAAAAAAAAATAAAAAAAAATGAGTTTGTGAGTGTTCCCTCCTCTATTTTTTTGGAAGAGTTTGGGAAGGATTAGCATTATTTCTTCTTTGGTAAAATTTACCAGTGAAGCCACCTGGTCCCAGCTGTTGTTCATGGGGAGATTTTTGCCTGGTGATTCAGTCTTGGTAGGATGTACGTTTCTTATGTTTTTCTTGCTTTTAGAGCTCAGCTCCTCTGTCTGGGCAGGGACAGACCAGGCTTCCCGGACTGCTGACGGTCTTCTGTTGAGGATCCGAGTCGGGCAGAACTGCACCAGTCTGCTGCTTCTGCACGCGAGCAGGGATGCCTGTGAACTTGGGCATCGCAGGTAGGATGCCGTCCGACCTCTACAGACCAAAGTGGTACCACAAGACCTCCCTTCTTTTTTTCTTTAGTGTTTATTTTTGAGAGAGAATCCCAAGCAGGCTCTGCACCAAGAGCCCAACACGGGGCTCAACCTCACAAACCGTGAGATCGTGACCCAAACTGAAAATCAAGAGTCGGATGCTCAAGTGACTGAACCACGCAGGCCCCCCCAAGCTCTCCTGTGACAGGTTCCAAGTGGTCGAGACCACAATGGGGGGTCTCGTAGGTGCAGGGGAGACCCCTCAGTGTATTGCTGGACTGTATATTGGGGGCAGTCATTTTTTGATTTCTAACACAAATATACCTGTTTTTATAATTCTACCCAACTGCATAAAGCAGGGGCATGAAAGGAGAATCCGGAGCAGTCCTTTGCAGAGGTTGGTGGTTGGTGGTCCTACGAATTCCCCAGGTGGGATCGTTAACACATTGAATCAGGATGTCTGGGTGTGGGTAAGAATTTGCGCTCGTAACAGCCTTCTCAGCCAAACACACTTAAATAGTGTCTTTATTTGGGGCTTTCATTTCTCTTAAGTTTGTGGAAATGAAAGAAAACCACACACACAAACCTCTTAGATGAAGACAAAGTTTTATTCTAAAAATAGATCTCAGTAACAATGAAATACCAAAAGCTGGTCATTATAAGAAAAAGAAAAAAAGAGGTAAAAAATTTGCTTTAAATTTTCCTCCTCAAAAATACAAAATTCTCACTGTACTATATTGCGAACTCTCATTTATCTGTACGCAAATTAACTTTATCCAAAGACATTTAAAGTCACAGATTGGATTCTAATGTATCTTCAAGTAAATACATTCTCTGAGAATGCAATGAAATATTTAAACATAATTGGGATATAAATTTATGCTCAGGGAAATCATGTTACCACTTCCCTCTATTTTTGCAGATAACCAAAAAAAGTGACTGCACCCAAGTACTGGTATTTGAAGGTAGCAGAGAGAAAACATTAACTACATTATTTGTATCTTTAAAGGCATATAATGACCTGTAGTACTTAAAAAAAGTGGTTTCACATCTTCAAAGTGCTAGAGAAGTATCCGGGAAGACAAAGTTCGACCTCAAGTACTGAAGGATGCAGAAGACAAAAGGAGGAAAAGGTAAAAGGCCCCCATCACTGTATCCATCAAAGTGGTTTAAAGACCAGGTAGGCAAGTTACCCAATCAGCCCACCTCTCTGTCCTCACCACACTACCCATGGTCACCACCTCAGTTGGCTGCACAGTGACTAGGAAGGATTGTCCTGTATCAAAATTCTTGACATTCTCTGAAGGCCAAAAGCTGGTCCCAGAAGGGCCATCCTCTTCAGCGTAGACGCACTGTCATCAGGACAGCTTAGCTTGTTGGCAGAAAGTGGTGGTACTTTACTTTGCGTAGTCATTTAGTATGACTGAAACAGCTTTTTTTCTTGTCAAAACTTGACCGTGAGTTTTGACTGCTGTAACGTAAACTCGAAAACTGAACACCCAAACATAAGTTGACTAATACTGGTGTCCCGACAATACGGTGCTTTTTCTGTTAACCTAATACAGCCTAAAGAGTAAGAGAAGTTTCTGGTCTTAAAAATTGCTTAAGGATTTGTATTTGGAATAAAGGTTTTTTAGTATATCCCCAAATCAGATAAAATCAACAGTGCACAAAAATACAGCATCTTCCTGTAGGTCAGTAGCCTGAGGGGTGCCCTCCGATCCCTGGATCGATCCACACAGCCTTCTAGAACTCTAGAGAAATCCCACAGGGGCTTATGTTAGTATGTTTACACTACATTAAACCATCCTACAACTCAACCTACAGTTAACTGGTGCGTATGAAACAGCGCAGTTTCCAGCAGTGGCAACACTCACGGTAGGAAGGTACGCGGACGAGATCGTGAACACGCTGCTACGACGTGCAGACATGAGAGAGGGAAAAGACAGACTACGTGCCACAGAAGCTGTAAGGATGACACAGCTCTAACAGGGCTCAGCCACACGTTCTCGTGCTGGGGGCGGGGTGGTGCATTTTATTTCTCACCCAAGCGTGAAGCTTTAAAACTAAAGTTATGTCGGAGACCTGATTTACTCGGAATTTCTGCGGTGTGGCTTTAGAGCAGAGCCGGCTCTGGGGAGCAGTGAAGGTCTGTGTCGTCGTCAGTACGTGCCGTCACAGTGAGTTACTCCCCCGGCGTGACCAAGACCACAAGAAGGAGAACGGCACTGGTCTGTGTGTTTTTAGAAGTGACTGTAACCACTGAAAATGCTCATTTAACAACCGAAACCAAACTCTATCTTCAGTAATCCTGAGGCATCTTTACAGGCGTATAACGTACAATGTACTATATAAACATGATCTGCGTATACGGTTTCCAAGGAGAATCCTCCAAATTCATCGGTAGGGCTGTATTGATCTTCCCATTGGTGCCCGGAGTCCCTTAAATGATGGCATCGTGTTCATCGCTGTAATCAAAAGGTAAAATTGTTTTGTATTGGTGCCAGAGCTGTTTCGGTTCCTATTTTTACATAACTTCAAAGGTGCAGAATGAAAATTGTCATTTACGTGAAATTTGTTCAAGTGTCCAGGGTACCATGGGCCGTAAGGGTTCCCATAGTGACCCTCGAATGTCTGCTCTGCCCCTTGTGGCTTCTCGGCCGATAGCCACAGAAATCTAAAACAGGCACCCTCCTTCCTTGACCATCCCGTGTGTCGGGTGCCACATACCTCCTTTTCATCCTCCCGGAAACCCTACTTACGTACTGACTTCCTTTATTCGTTTTTGCAGAGGACCTGAAGCCAAGCAAGCACGTGGGAAGGAAGGCCCCAGAAGGGCCGCTCCTGCACCAAACCCCACCCCTGCACGCTTCCGTCACCGCGGGTAACCTTTTCATGCTCACTGCTGCAACTGCTACGTGGGGAACGTCTCCAGTTTTGAGCGGGACAGACAAATCGAGCGTTCTGTAAGAACTCGAACTTCAGAGCAGCTCTTGGCTTCTACATGTGCCGTCACGTAGCACTAAGAAAAAGGCGCTGTGGTCCGTGGACGGTAAGGTGCACCCTAACTTCGGAGACGTGCCGCAGAGGGAGAACAAAACGAAAGCAGCGCGGACTTTCACTCGAGTCCGTGAGGTACTTTCTCTGGGGCTCTGTCAACAGACTCCAGGCACAGCCCCTCCCAGGCAGCGGTGCACGGCTGTGTATGTAAAGACTGGCTCCTACTAGCTACAGCCACATGCTGTGTGCTTAAGGCAATTTAAAACGAAAACACGGTTCGCTTCACTACTTGTGGCCTCATTTACGTCAATAAACACTGATGCTATAACAGGGTGAGTGGCATTTCATGTGCTATGATCAAGACGTACCTTCTGTTTAACTGGTGAAATTTATCAAGCACACATGATAAATATTTCTAGAAACACAGAATCTGGCAAAACACCTCGATGCTCTGAAAGCAGGTTTGCTAAACCAGGTTGAACTGGTTAAACAGCTCCCGACGTGAAAGTTGGTGTGGGACACACGTGTATGACGAGTTAAAAAATTGGGAAAAGTTGCCCTTCCGTGGTATTTACAGTACATTAAGAATCAAAAGAACGAATTGGCTCTTGTATTCTAGTAAGAGCGAAAAAACCCCAAAAGGGACTTAAACCCTCCAAACAATGTAAGACCCACACAGTTATGGAAAGGGTCAACGTGGTAAGAGCTCTTAACTCACTTGATGCAATGACTTAGAAAATGAGACCGTGAAGAAATTCTTTAAAACCAGGTTTCTACCAAGGATGTTCCCTTAGTGCTACTGACGAGCACCAGCCACGCCCTCCTGGTACGGTTACAGGGGTGTGAAGAGGGAGAACGTCAGGAAGCGGGACATTTGTACCAGCACGTGCATCCATTTTTTGTTTGCAAGTACAATTCATAGATCTGTGGCCCCCTTTCGGTGTTTTGTCACGATCGTGAAAGAAACACAGAAATCCTCTCAAAACTCACATGGTTCTGTACCGAATGCCTCTTCGTGAATAGTACGTTTTGCATCCGAAGTACAGAATCGACAGGACTCCCAGGGTTAATACGATGCCACCGAGAAAGCTGCCAATATCAAATTTCGATCCTGGGTTTTCTTTAGAATTGATAGTTGCTGTGACTAGGAGAAAAGAAAAGTAAGCTTTAGTGGTGTTTAAAAACCATTACAAAAAGCTGCCACTCGAATTTCTATCCAAGGAAGCAGAGCCAGGGGAGGAGCTCCCCAGCCCGCCTCCTGCCCGGCGGCCCCGGGGCCCCTCCAGCAGTGGCAGCGCTTCCCCCCGCCCCTCCCCCACCTGAGGGTGTTTGTGCTGGGGGACCACAGCCTCGGGCAGCACCCTCTGGGGCTGTTTCCTTATTCCCTTGTCCCGGGAAGAATCGGCGCCTTAACCAGGGTGTCTGGAGCGCCCGTCTGAACGAGGGCGTCTAACGGAAGTTCTCCGTTCGATAAATGGACTGTTGTATCACATCGAGGGCCCTGGTGACATTACAGAGGATTTCAGAACACAAACTGCAGGAATAAGGCTTTAGGGTAGAAAAGACAGAAATCTGCGGCGGACACCCCCGCCAGAACAGAGCCACGCGAGTGCGGCATCTGACACCGGCTCTGAGCACGGAAGGGGCTCGGCTCCCACACGTACTTGTCACGGGTGAAGGCACAGAGGTGGCCGAACGGTTGTGGGCCGTGCTCGCGGTGGACGGCGTCTGGGACGCGCTGTGGGAGACGTGCGTGGCGGAGGTCGTATTCGGGGAGGCCCCCTGTGTTGTGAATCCGGGTGCTGCTGTGGGCGTCGAGGTGCTGACAGTGTGTGTCCTGAGGACTTGGGGCAGGGCGGGCGTGAGGGCTTTCGTCGCGTTGGGGGGTGCACCCGTGTGGCTGGAGGTCACCGTGGTGGCGTTGCCTGCGAGAATGAGACACGTGAACATGACACAGGGCCCTCATCTCTGGGAAGGGAGTTGACGGGAGGACGGAGACGGCGCGGGTGGTGGGGGGCCGGGAGTGTGCACCCCATGCCACGTGGCCGGCCGGTGAGCCTGTCAGGGGTGACGCCCCCCCCCCGCCCCCGGGGCGTGGCCGTCGGGACAACCTCCCACGGCCGGAGGCTCCAGACACCCCTCAATCCCGGAGGCCCCCGTTCGCGCCTGGGGCGGAGGCCTTCACGGGGACGATTCGGACCCGTGCGCACCGAGCACGTACCCCGGGTCCCCGCCCCGGCAGCGCCAGCTCACCCCACGCGCACGCTGCCGGGGACAGAGACATTCCGTCCTCTCTCCGCCCCTTCGCACGGCCGCGCTGATCTCCGCCTGTTCCCTGTCCTCGGGCTCGCCCGCGGCGCTGCCGTCCCACGGGGCCCGTCTCCGCCTCTCAGCCGGCACTCGCACGCTCCTCCCCGGGGAGAGCGACTCAGGCCGGGGGTGTCGCGCTCCGTCACTGCCGGAGGGGACTGCCGCCGACAGGAACACCCTTGCCTCCAGTCCGCTGGACTTTTTCTTCGCAGACTTCCGGACACGCCAGGCTCGCGTGTCTACCGGCTTCCCGGTACCTCCCCCGGGGCGCGGGTCCCTACTGTGCGCTCTCGTCCGCGCCGTGTGACCCCATTTTTTTAACAAGGCCCCAGGAACACTGCTGTGCTACGTAGACCGGTGAACCAGTAAATTCTCATGATTCCGAGCGGAGGACACAAGTGGCAAGAACCTGAGCTACTGTGGGTGCTCCGTGCTCAGACGACACGCTTCGGGACGGACACGCTCCCTTTTGTTCTAAACCGGTGCGTGCTATCGCGGTGGAGTCGACACGGGGAAGAGCTGGCGTTTCTATCGCATTTTCAGCCCGGCACGATCTGTGCGCAGTCCACCAGGAGGCGCGGTGCGACCCGCGCTCCTGCCCCGCCCCTGCCCCGAGACCTGGCCCCTCGCTGCGCCAGGTCACCCGAGCAAAGACGGAGCCGCGACGGCTTAGTCTTCCCAAGCGAGAAAATCCAACCGTGTTCAAGAAACGAGCAGCTGAACATTTCTACAAATGGACACGACAGGCCCCTAGGCTTTTTGACTGTCCTGATGCCCACGAGCGTCACCGTGATCCCAGGAGGCCGGCGAGGAGCTCCCGTCCAGTGACACTACGCCCTCGTGCGCCCATGTGCACTCGCGGGTCTTCCGGCCCCCGAGGGACAGAAGCTGTGCGGGTGTGGGTGGCACCCGGGGCAGGACAGGGGCTCGCAGGGCCCAGGGCTCCGGGCACGGAGCAAGTCCCGGGACGCGGCACACTGCACGGAGCACGCACTCTTACCGCGTTCCCAAGTTGCCGAAAACAAATCTTCGAGGTCGTCATCACAAGGCAAAACCCCGTGACTGCGCTCGGTGCCAGAGCTCGGACTTCCTGTGGGGATGGCGCTGCAAAAACGCACAGCTGTTGGCGCACAGCCGGGACCGGATCTCATTAAAAGTGCCGAAACAAGACGCCGTCGAGGCACAAACGGTCGTCACGGGAGGGTGCGTGTGTCCGTCCGCTCGTCCCTCTGCTCAGGAAGGAGCAGACGAGAACGCCACCCCAGCTTCAGACCAAGCAGGAGAGCCTTCGGGGGAGCAGCCCCTGGACTTGTGGGGACACAGAGATTGAGTGACTCTGGCCTGACGAGGGCCCGGTCCCGGCGGGAAAGCTTAGAGAGCGGAGCCGGGTGTATACTGTTCACACTGACAGCAAAGGCGGTATTTCCCACGACCCTGGTCTGGCCCCCACCCCTGCCCCATGCAGCCCCCAGACCCTGCACAGTGTACACAGCTCGCTGCCCCCCACCCCCCACCCGGCTGCACCTGCCCCACGTCACTGCCTTGTGGCAACACTCCGCAGAGGGAGGAGGGTGACCGGCAGGGAGGACACAGGACCTGGGCCACGGGTGTGTGGAGTCCGAGTCGGGAGGAGTCGGGCCCCAGCCGGGGGAGGCCCAGGAGTCCACCTCGGCCCGAAGCAGGCATCCCGGCCTCCTAGCCCACCAGCGTCCAGTCCTGCGATGTGAGGACGACCAGAGCACAGCAGCCGTCGATGTCCCCTCCCCACCGCCAGCCCCGATGCTGCCGTGGCCCAGCCTGGCAGAGGGGGTTAAGCCCTAGGTTCGGATGACCACGGCTTCATCAGCTTAGGATTATTCTGGAAGGCAGAGGCACCCGAGCTCCAAGTCAGCGCTCAATGGATACAGCTGTGGGGGAAGGGCGTGTTCGACTCATGCCGGCTGCTGCTCCGTGGGGCGTGCCCAGCTCAAAGGGACACCCTCACCCTAGGACCGCGGGATGTCCCACACACCGGCACACAGGATCCTTATGTGGGATCGAATCACAATGAGGTCACTGGGAGGGATCTCATAAAAGGAGATTCACCCTCTTGCCTCTAGAAAACACGGTGCCACACAAGGGTCTACGAGAGGCAACAGAGATAATTTAGGTTGAGCAAGTAGCACAGTGCCTGTGACAGAGGGAACATCTGTGAGTCATTATTCCTTTTATTTTCGTTTTGAGAGAGAGAGAGAGCAGGGGAGGGAGGGGCAGAGGGAGAGGAAGACAGAGAATCCCAAGCAGGCTCCTCGCTGACAGCACAAAGTTCCACGCGGGGCTTGAACTCACAACTAGATCATGACCTGAGCCGAAATCAAGAGTCAGACGCTTGACTGAGCTCCCCCTCCCCCAGTTGCACCAACTTTTACCCTTTTTTGAGCATGAGCTTCATGAGCTGTATGTATTTCCTGCACCGAGCTGCACCGTCACATCCCCTGTCCCCAGGGTCACCACCAACGCCATCTGAACGTCATCCTATCAAAGAGGGTGCCGGGGTTCTTCAGTTCATCGAGACAATTGCCCAGGACAATAATGTGAAACCAGGCCAGTGTCCAGGACCACTGACAACGGACACCGCGTCCACCGTCTGGATTTACTTGGCTGTCTCCTTACGGCTCTGCTCAAGCCACTTCCCTCACTCCTGCAGCCTTGGGTCCAAGGGTATAGCTAGGTGCCATGTTTTCCCTTTAACCTAACAATTTCAAGGTTGAGGGTGACCATGTGTTTTCATCAGGGCATCAAATACACACTTAAAGTGCAGTGGAAAATACACATGAAGACTTTACAATCACATTTAGTTTTAAATGGGACACTAGTGCCTTTTCACTTCGTGTCTCTGAGTGGAGCTCACCCAAAGACAAGGACTGAAAGTGAAGGGACGGGAAACGGTATTCCGTGCAAATGGAAACTAGAAGAAAGCTGGGGTAACCACACTTAAATCAGATAAAACAGACTTTATTATTATTATTTTTTTTAATTTTAAGTAGCCTCCCTATCCAATGTGGGGCTTGAATTTACAACTCTGAGATTAAGAGTCACATGCCCTACACACTAAGCCACTCGGGTGCCCCCAAAATGGACTTTAAAACAAACAATGTAATAAGACAAAAAAGGGCACTGAATAAAGATGTCAGTTCAACAAGAGAATAAGATATTTGTGTGTATTTAATGTACCCAACATAGAGAAGTGAAATGTATAAAGCGGCCATTAATAGACCAAAAGGGAGTAAGAAAACCAATAAGAGCAACCCTATAGTCAGATCAACTAGGCAGGGAAATAAGAAAAATACTGACCTTAAACAATGTTAGACCAGGTGGACTTCACAGATAGACACACTCTTCTCAAGCGCACGTGGGACATTCCCCAGAATAGATACTATGTTAGGCCATAAAACAAGTCTTATTAAAAACAAAAACAAAAACAAAAAAACATACCAAGCATTATCAGCCACAACAGTATGCAACTAGAAATCAATTAGGAGAAAGCTTGAAAATTCACGACTACGTCAAGTTTAAGCGACGTGCTGCTTAACAACGCTTCAAAGAAGAAATCAAAAGGGAAATCAAAGTATACCTGAAGACGAATGAAAATGCAAGTACGACACACCAAAACGAATGGGATACAGCAACAACGGCTCTACGAGGAAAATTTACAGAGATGAACGTCTACTCCAGAGACAAAGTTCCAACAGCAACAACCTACCATTATAGCTCAAGGAACCAGAGAAAGAACAAAGGCCAAGGTTAGGTGAAGAAAGGAAGCAACGAAAATCACAGCGGAAATAAAAATGCGAGAGAACGAAAAGCCCAGTGAAACAAAGAACTGATTCTTTCAAAGGATGAACACGATTAACAAACTTTTAGCTACAATCACCTAGACAGAAAGGACTGAAATAAAATCAGAAATCAAAGAGATACACGGATACCACAAAATCAGCAAGAACCGTAAGAGACTGCCAGGAGCAATGATCTGCCAAAAAATCAGTCAACCTACAATAAACGGATAAGTTCCTAAAAACACACAACTTTCTAAGAGAATCCGAACAGACCAGACCAGACCTATCACTACTAAGGAGATCGAATCAGTAAAGAAAACCTCCCAACAAACCACAGTCCAGGGCCAGACGGCTTCACAGGCTGAGTTCTGCTCAACATTCAAAGAAATAACAACACTCCTTCTCAAACACTTTCGGAAATATAAGAGAAGGCGATACTTCTCAACACATTTTACCAGGCCGGCATTACCCAGATCCCCAGACCAGATCAGGATGCCACAAGCAAGGAAATGTAATACCATTATCTCCGATGAAAATAAATGCAAAGATCTCCAACAAAGTATTAGCGACCCATATTCATCAATATATTAGAAGGATCCTACACCATGATCGAGTGGCATTTTTTCCAAGGATGCAAGGGATGCTTCAGCATCTCTGAATCAATTATACACCACATGAACAAAATAAAGGTTAGAAATCTTATGATCATCTCAACAAATGCAGCTAATGTACTTGATAAAATACAACATCTGTTAATGATAAAAACTCTCAAAAAAGTGGGTATAGGGGGAACATAACTC